TCAAAGGTGATGGGATGCAGATGAGATCTTCATGTTCAGAAGTGATGAGACACTTTGTAATGGGAGGAAGGATTTGAAGAACAGGACTTGACAGGTTTGCTGCAGGGTATCTAGGGGAGGAGAAGCAGTTTCTTGTGGAGAAGGCAGCAAAGAGAGTGATTCTATGAGGAACTTGTAGCATATGCACTTTAAAGTGATAAAACCTGACATCACGGTTATCCAGAACACTTTCACTGTGAGAAGCTGCTAGAACTTGTAGCATTGTGCATTTTATTGGGAAGTGTCTTTATTTTTTTTATAACTTTTTTGGTAAATACTTAATTATTTTTAACAGATCCTGCTTATTTATTTTTTCTCCCAGCATCTTGTCACTACCTTCTTTATATTTCTTCTCATGGCATACGTGTGCTGTAAAAATGCGAGACATTAATCAATGATTTTGATAGCAAGTTTTTAGATTGTTGAGGAAACCAAAGTAACTTCTGCTGCTCTCAGGGCAGATAGAAAAGTAATGACCACTGTGAGCACTAACTGGAGGAGGAAAGTGACAGTAGGCTGTGGTGTTTAAGGCTGGGATGAAAAGAGGGATTCCAGCTTTGGGAGGGAGTGGACCCAGAACTTACCTCCATTATGAATAGAAGAAAGTTGAATTCAAAGGGTTACAGAATGTGGACTATGCAAAATGGTCTCAGGAATTTTAGTTCTCATAGTGGGATGCTAGAAATTTCAGTCACGTGATAGTATACAATGAGATATTAATTCCTGGAAAGGGAGGGTGTTAAGCTGTTGTTGTGTTGATCCACTTGCATCTAATGGTTGTATCTTAGTCAGTCATTGTCCACATACGCATAGGCATGCATATGTTAGCATGTTTTCTCCACTCTGAAGCTGAAACTTCATGCTATATAGAAGTTATGTTGTAAGTCAATGTAACATGTGCTTTTCATTCCATCATTCAGAATCTCTGGTTCTCTGGTCTACTGCGTAAATGTATTTCACTGATTATGTCTTGAGCTAGTTTATAAAAAAGCAAAACCAAAAAGAAAACCCCAAACCCAACCAAAACCCTCAGAGAATTAAAACAAATATATTGGTGCAGTTATAGTGATAGAAATATTTCACAGAACAAAAATTAACTTAATTAAATCCAAAAATATATGAGTTGATACATAGCTTTCCTCTTCCCCCTCAATACACATAGAGTCAGTAGCTGGTGCACAATTAAACGTAACACTAATTTCCACTTAGATTGTACTCACCTCTGTTTTATAGGTAGATTTTTGATTTTAGTTTCCAGGACTAGCCTAATGGCTTTCCTATGGGATTTGCATTATCCTCTACCTTACCCCAAAATTAGTTAGATTTTTTGGAGCCTCTACAAGTAAGGGAATTAGCAGCACATCCAGTCTAAAACATGGGTATTTTTGTGCTAACGTATCTTTAGGTCGTTCTAGCTTAAAATAGAAATGTTGTATGAGCATCAAGTTTCACTAAGTTGCCAGCATAGTCTGTGATACAGAACAGTGATTACATTAAAAACCCCAGAGAAACAGAATTCCTTCTGTGTTGCAGTTCCATGAAAGGGCTGAATACTGATTCAGTTCATAGTACAAGATTTACGAAGTGGTTTTGTTAAATTTATGCAAACCCCTATGTGAATACTTCTTTTAATCACTTTCATAGCAATTTATTTTATTAAAATAATATAGGAAATGTTGCATACAGTTGAAAATTGAATTTACAACTGTAAATGCTACTTTGTGAATGTATATGTAGATGAGGCTTGCATTTTGTCAAAAAACATGACCAACATGAACAAACAGTTGTTGAGCCTTGAATGTAATACACACTTCTTAACTTCACAGATGTACTTTCTCCCAATTAGTCATGTTCCCAATTTTACACAAATGTTAGAAACTTCTAACACATGAAATGACTGAAGTAAAAAGAGGTCTAATCATAAATGCTGCTAGGGCCTAAAATATTCACTCCCTTAGCCTGGAGAAATAAGAAAATGTAAATATTGAAGCTTCTCTAGCTAGTGAAGACATTGGATTATCAGATTGGGAAAGCAGAACCATTTTGACTGCCAACAGATAATGTAATTTACATAGGAACTCTGTATATGTTTTGGTGCCAAATAAGGCAGGGCATCCTCCTTCCCTATTTCACCTGTCTTCTCAGCTGCAGCACTTGCATATCCAAGAATCTTAAGTTTTCACGTTACACTTTTAGCATTCAGGTTGAGGTCTTACCTGCAGGATGTAAGAGCAAATCTAAGAAAACAGCAATGTTTGTTAGAAGGTCATGCAAGAAAGGTCATGGTGTGTAGCATAATTAATATGCTTTATTTATTGACATGTTAGTAAATATATTGTCTATGCTGTTGATGATTTGACATTACTCTGGTGCATGTTCAAATTATAAGACACATAGGCAAAGATATCAATGTCATTTTTTTTGCAGAATAGTTACAGAAAAAGCAAGATGATTCTGAACAGCCTCTCTCTGATTTTTTTCCCCTAGGATATTCAGTGTCTAACTAAGTTTTCTGAAACTGCAGCATGTCCAGTGATTCACCTTCATCACTAGAAGAGATGCAGGTAGTTGGATAAGGACTTCCGCTTTTCCCTTGATATTTTTATTTACGCTGTTATTCAATATCAGTATTTATTCTATTAGTATACTTTAAAACCACAAAAGTTCAGGAAATAACCCTTGCCAACTAATCTCATTTGCTATCACTTGAACAGTAAGGCAGTTATTGCAAAATTATAACACTTCATTGTTCAAACAGACAGGATTTTTATGGCTCTCCAACTGAATTTTGCTCCTGCTGCTTATTACAGAACATTACCTTTAAGAGACACTTGCAGCTGGTATTGATGACAGGCAACAAGACATTTGTCATCTATCCCCTTGGGCAACAATTATCCAGATGCAAACATGAGCTAGCAGATGCTCATTGGAAGGAAAAAGAAAAGGCAGCTGTTAGTAAACAGCTTTTACTTTACATGTTAGTAAACAAAAGTGCTCCTGATTGGATTTTGCATACAGGAGGTTTCCAACAGGGATCAGAATCAGCCAGCTAATCTGCCTCAGAGATGCATTTCCACAGGCTATAACTGGGAACTATGTATTCACTGGTAGGATGTGGAGAAGTGTTACAGAAATACTGAAGCAAGTTAGGAGCTGCAGAGATCAGTAACTTGGAATTTGTCACCCACCTGCTTTAAGATTTAAGATTTAAATTAGATTGTACCTGGGCAGATAATACTGTTGAGAGGCCCAGAACACACTTTTTCCATGCAGCCTTCCCTGTCCTTCTTTGAAGATTTGTTATCTCCTCAGTCATACTGTTTCTTTCTGAGGACACAGTCAAAATAAAAGTAAAAGCAATGCCTAATAGGACTAGCAGATGCATTCAGCAGTATACTTCCACACTTCTGTAAACAACTGCTTGTCATGGGTAGCAAGACAGTTAACTTATGTGCTGTCTGTCAGTACCAACTTGTGCATGGATTTAATTTTTTATTAATAGAACAGTTGCAAACATTGCTAGAAAAGAAGTACTGAGGGTTGTTCAATTATGTAAGATGGCAATAATAGCTGCCATTAAGAACATTCTTGACTAGAATGTGTCTGAGAGGGCAAGGGAGTGTCCATATTACAATAGTAGAGTATCTGGCTAGGGCCATTTTGCTGGATCTCAGTTTTCAGTAGAGTGTGAAAGCCAAATGCTCAAGCTCAGCTCTTACTGATTTGGTGAATCATGGCTATTTGGTGACAGGACCAATACCTTATTTCCTAGGTAACTCTGCAATATAAAACTGTAAGAAGACTGAACTTACATATTTTTACTGCACTGACCACGCCTTTATTAGAACTGTAAGACATGAATAACGTTTTTCACCTTATTTGAACTACCACGCTGATCTAGAGCCAGCAAGTAACTGCAGTAACCAAGGGCTGTAGCTTAGAAGTGACTAAACCGTAAATGCTGCAACCTTGTTAAATCATGAAAAATTTATTCTCATTACATATATATGAAGGTAAAAGATTTCAGTCAATAGTGTTTTGAACAGCATTTCTGACATGAACCTGTTAGTGTAGCTACGCCGAAACTTAAAGTTAGTGTTTTGCATTTATTTAGTAATTAATTTCGTGTGTGTATATACAGAATTCATTTTCCTGTTAGAATACCAGAGACAATAATATTGCAACATTTACATTCATCATATAAAATGGCATAATGTACATTTTCAGCTTGGTGTAGATATATAAATATGTACAAAATAAACATTACTGTAATTAATATATTCAGACCAGGCATTATTTAGCTACATCAAAAGCAGATGCATGTAGATTTAAGTGAAAATGGTGAAAAACACCTTTGTGACATTAGTGACCATTATTTGCATATATGAAGTAGTACAGATAAAGGCTCCTCCTTCAAGCCTTCTGTGGGCATCCAATAACTTTAGTAAAAACAAAAGTAATTGAGAAGTATAAGATAATTATATATATAAATGTGTCATGATCAGATGGTTTACTAGGGTCCATCTTGATCGCAAATGGATAACAATGTAAAACATACACATTTGTTCAGAGCATAAAATATTGCACAAGAGCAATTTCTTTTGAGGAAGACAATTCCTGTGTTTGTGAACAGCAAAAAATAGTTCGTATGTATTAAAGAAATTATATATTTGCAGTTTATAAACCAAGGAACATTCAGTAATACTGTCAGAACTGTCATCCATTGACTTCTTCCCAGCCTGTTGTATGGCAATGGTATGTCATTAGCAAGATTTGGCAAAGAGAGAAGGCAGATAGACAGTACATGTATATATTTATCACAGGCCAGACCAGATCCAATAGTTACCTAAACCAACTGCTGGATAGTTTCAGTTATCTGACAATTTCACCATTAAAGAAATATGAAAGTCTTCAATGTGTCTTTGAGTCAAAGATAAGTCTTCAACTTATCACAGTGATAATCACACAGTAGTAGAGTAAGATTCCATTCTCGTCTGCTTGGAAGCCATCTTGTCTGAATTCCCAGTCTGAAGGGCACTTTCCTCAGTATCACTGTCACTGCTGTCTACAACTGTGCGATCCAAAACCATCTGACCAGTCCTCCTGTGTAGAAGAAAGTTCACCCCACTCTCCTGTATGGAGTTAGTTATAAAGTCTTCATCAGAAGAATGAAATGATTCGTCATCTCCTGTGAAATGGTTGACAATGTGAATCCCATCAAAAGTGGTTTGGTCTGAGAAGTCTCTCTGGCCTTTTAGACATTTGATCTGTTAGAAAAGGCAGAAGTTAACATTTAATCAGAGCTGAAGAGTCCAGCAGTGAAAAAAAACCACCACCACAAACCCCCACATTTCCAAGAAATGTGTCATTGAACTCTTACTGGATTAAATTAAATGCTAGATCTGGAAGTAGCACATTTGATGATCACTTCGAAACTCAGCTTCAATCAGAACAAAGTTGCTTCTCGCTTCTGGCTACTGAAGCCGAGACCTTGAAAGAATGTCTTAAATAGTACTTAGAATTTTCCAAAATTCTCCTTCCACCCCAGGAGTATTTCAGTTTTGAGGCTTAATAATCAAGGTACCTAGAATCACCAATGACAGATTCTTCCAGGCTACTTACTGCCTCTTTAATATCCCCAACAAGGATCCTTTATAGTTAGTTTTCTAGAATGGCCTATTTGTTTTGACAGTACTTTTGGCAGTCACATCTTACTTTTACAGCTGCATTCTTTCCTTTATCACTTAGCTTCTCACTTGAGAAAAGCCCTCCCCCAGTCCCAAAGAGCAGTGTCCCAAGTGAATATTGCCAGTTTCACACAGGCACAGGAGAAAAAAACAAATCAAAACCAACAAATATGCTTAGTCCCGTCTACACTGCAAGATCAAGTGTCTTTTCATTATATAGTTCAGACTCAGTGAGATTTCACATCAAGAAGCATGAGGGAAGCTTCTCTTTGTACGGCATAAATAGATTGCAGTTTCAATTTTAAGAGAACATCAAACAAGACAAAAATGATTGTCAGACCATGGACATTAACATTTTAATTCAGAATGCACTGTGGAGTGATAAGCTATGACAACCTTTTTACTTTCAAAAGTAAAACCTAGAGCTCTGAAGTCTGCCAAGTCCCCTGTTAATTTAGTGAAAATGACTGCAATTCATGGACAACATTCTTGAGGTGTTTTGGTTTTGTTTTTTGTTTGTTTGTTTGTTTGAGAATTTCACTTTTGGTAGCTTTTAAGTAGCAACTACTACCTCAGGGTCAGTTTGACAGTCTAAGAGTATTAAGATTAAAAATCCTAAGGATGCAGAAGGACATGAAAAATGCATTACAGGAACTTCCTAATGTCACTCTGGAAGCTTAAAAGAGAAGATGCACCAAGTACTGTTTTGTAAGTGACTTTTCACAGTAACAGACACCTGGAAAATAGAAAGAAAAAGCCTGAACCTTTACACAAATCTATTTGACATTTCAGAAGTCTGAAGCACTATTCACTTTGATAAATAAAAAGTCATGTAGGTCCTTGCTGTTGATACCAATAGAAGATTTTACCTGTCCATTTGGGGAAGAAGGAATCCCTGTACTTACCATGGGCTTGTGCAAAAGATGAGAATAAAAAAGGGGTTGAAACAGATCACAAGTGTCATAATCATGCTAGAAACCATCAAATCGGATGTTAACAGCACGTAAAAGCTCCATCTTTAATATATATCAAAACATCCTTGTTAGAAATACGGGTACATGCTGTAGATCTAAACCTTGGTTGTAAGTGCACACACTAATGTTACTTTTTTGCATTTTCTTCACATAACACAGGCTGCAGCTGTTCCATGAGGAACTTGCTTGTGTCAAGGCAAGCAAAAGAAAAGTTCCACACTTGCACAGCATAATTCATGATGTAACCAAAATCAGCTTATACCAAATATTAGATACTGGACAGTAACAACTATCTGGAATAAATAATTTTTACTCATTTATATACCTAGATACAGAAAGCCTAAGCTAGAGATTCTTGTGTTATTTAGAAATATTATTCCTAAAAATATCCTGAAATATGATCAGATTAGCTGCCACATGAAGTTTCCAAAACAGCTATCAATTTTAGTCACTAAGAAAATAACACACAGAGAAACAAAACAAAACCCAACAATTTCTCTCTACCCTCACCACAGAAAAAAAGCTCTGCTGTACAAGTGACTACAAATTTCATATTACAGTAAGAAATTATATGCTTTTAGGTCTGCAGAGTTAAGCCATTGGATCACCTGAAATTATAAAGCTGATACTCAATGTTAGTTGTTTTGAACATTCAGAAAGCCAAGCCAATGACCTCAACTGTTTTCCTAAAGACTTCAACACATGATACCTTTAGATGAATGTATTTAGGTAACATGACAAAATCATGGCTTCCCGGTTTTAGGCAGTCACCTTTCCAAACACCAAATGAGTCTCTGTGGAAAATGCTGTTCATGAAAAAAATCATGAATAGACACAGCCTTTGCCAATTCCTAAAGTGAGTCTTGGAAAATAGTGTGTTTTTATTTTGTTATTTCAATGAAAGGATGCACAATCTGTGACCTTCCAGAAACACGTCTTTTGAACTGCAGCTTTACATTTGCCTGCCCTTTTTCTCAAGCACTCCTCACATCCAAGGGAAACCAAACTGCTAGGAAGAAACATGAATGTACTGTAGAGAATATATGCAGCAACTCTACTGATGGTCTTATAGTTCCATAACTTCTCTGCCTGCTTGAAAAATGGCCATCTCAGACAGAAGCACAGACAAGCACTGTAGCATAGAATTTGTTTGTATTGTGGGGATCAACAGGCTGGGTAGCAACACTACTGAAGAGGACATGGGGGGGTCTGACACACAGGAGGCTAAACATGAATCAGCAGTGTCCCTGAGTAGTGACAAAGGCTAACAGCACACTAGACTGTATTGACAAGGACATAGCCAGTACATCATGGGAACCGATTCTTAGCTGGCACTTGTTAGACTGCATCTGTCCTATTCTGCATTTGCTACCTCACTTCTTCCTCAGTACAAGATAGTCATGAGTAGATTCAGTGGAGAGGCACCAAGACAGTTAAGGGGCAGGAGCATACGCCTTCAGGTAACAGAGAACCAGTTCTTCGCTGAAATGCATGGTAGGAGAAGAGACATTGATAATAACACAAAACGCAAGGTTGTGTCTGAATATGAAGGGAAGTAATCACTACAAGGCTAGTTAAGAATTAGAACAGGTTGTTCAGAGACAGTGGACTCTCCATCCTCAGTCGGTTTCAACACCCAACCGACAAAGCCTAAAGGAATCTGCTTTGAATTTGGTATTGATCCTGTTTTCAGCAAGCAGTTGGACTAGAGGCCTCTCAGGGTCCCTTCCAACCTGAAAGACAGATTACAATTCAGCGAGATGTGTGAAAAGCAAGGGCAATGGGATGCATATTACTGTTCTTATGGCAGCCATTTTGAGTTTGAGAAATTGAAATACTTTGTACCTGTGAAAATTACTGCACTTCTTAAAAATGTAATGCCTTGACATTAAATGTCAGTACATTAATTTATCACAAAACCTAGACTTCAACAGAATCTTACTTTTATTTTACAATTAGAAGTCTGTCACTTTAATCTTGAAAATACTTAGAACATGTTGTTTTTCAATTGAAGGTAAAATCTGATTTGCATCTTCAATTTTTTTTTAAACATTAACATTGATGAAAGCAACTAATCTTCAAGAAATCAAAAGTATACAACAGAACAGGCGGGGAACAGCTGTGCACTATTTTCACTTTTGTGTAGCTTCAGAGTTAAAGATACTTCAGGGGCATCTCAATCTAATGTTTGTTCAGGAGAATTTCTGAAGGAGCCTCATTATCTGCAGTTTCTGTTGAAGCAGAAAATCTTTGTAAGGCTTCTCAAAGCATTTGGAAAAATTTGTAGACAGCATGCGCTCCAATGCAATTAGATACAAGTAGCTAATGCCAGCTTAAGGCTCTAAAATACAGGTTTCTTAAAATGGAAAGTTTCATACTCTCGCGTAACTTTACAGTCTAGCAAGTGAGGCTCTGCACTGCTAATCGCAAAAGCAGTATCTTTTTTCAAGATGAGAACATAAGAAAGTGACCAACTGGCTCAGGGCAATGGTCCATCAGCCTAATATTCTATCTCCAACAGTGAGAACAGGACTTTCACAGTGTTTTGTTTTTAAGTGAAAGCATGTGAATATGACCAATTTTTACAATCTATTCTCTTCATATTCCCAAGATCCCACTCACTTGTCCAGAAACTGCTGTAGCAGATATGAGAGTGCTAGCTGTTTCAGCATTCATGTATAGACCACTCATCCATGACTGATAATTTTTTTTTTTTTTTGCAGTCTACCTCCACAGCTTCCTGTGGCAGTAAGCTCCAGAAAAAATTCCTTTATTTGTTTTCAATTAATCTCCTACTTGTTTCAGGAATTGCCCCCAAATTCTAGTAATGCAGGAACATGTGGTAAAGAGTTCTGCAGTCATGATTCTGAAACTTACATCATAACACCTGCCTCAACCTTCTCTCTAAAACAGAAGAGTCCTAAGCCTTTTCAGCCTCTCACGAACAGGCAGTGCTCAAGACCACTGATCATTTTAGTTGCCCTTTAACCTCCTACAGACCTTCTTTAAACTCTCTACATCCATCTTGAGGTATAGAGACCAGCCCTGCACCAAGGTTTTGTAGTGGCAATATAAACCCCTCTAATTTGTTTTTGATATACTTCCTATTGATGCCCAACATTGTCTTGTCTGTTTTGGCTGCTGCTGCACACTGAGCCAATGATGTCAGAGGACTCTCAGCAACAACTCGAGAGTATCTTTCCTGATTTGCAACTACCAATTCTGTGTTTGCCATTGTGTAGGTATGGCTTAGATTTTGCAATTGATTAATTACCTTATTCACATTGAAGCTCATCTATCACCTTTTTAAGAGAGGCTTCTTGAGATTCTTGGCATCAGTGTTTTATTCAACCACAGAAAAAGAGCTTAAAGTAGGAAGTAAAGCATTACACCATGATCTTGTCATTTGTGTAGCCAAGTGTATCAAGATAGCGGGAAATCCAACTAATCTGACTAAGGACTTGGAGCAGGAAGGGTACATGGACCCAACCCAAACACCCACACACCCAAACCCTAGTTCTACTCCATCCTTATCATTCCACCTGAAGGAAAAAGAACAGCCCTTTTTCTTGCAGTCATGCTGAGCAGAGTATAGACTTGCACCCC